GAGATTAAGAACATAGAGTGATTGTAAACCCTAGTTATAATCTCTCCCTCTAATAGTAGATCTCCTCCTCCTTGCCCCGTGGATGTAGGTAATTTGCCGAACCACGTAAAATTAGTTGTATCGCTATTTGTGTGATTTGTAATAGCTTTTAGGTTCCCTCGACAGGTCAGTCCTAGAACTGATGAGAGGAAGAGCTGATATCTCACTTGGTTGAGATATTTTGCTTAAGGTTCCTGTTTCCTTTGTAAAACAAGATTTCCTATTGCGACCTGACTCTCTTGTTGTGCTGCCGAAGTACTGTCGAAATTTCTGCTGCGCGCAACATTAGGAAGCGTCTTTCATCTCGAGATAGGTCATCTTAGCAGATTACGGGTCGGATACGCCTTTCTTTTTGATTTGAATCACGAGGCAAGTTGGCCATTTTAACACCCGGTCATGCTCGCGGATGCATTTAGGAGTGATCCACTAGATTTCACACGTGGTTATCCTTTGAGACTCCATTAGACTTGATAATTTTCTAGGGTACAACAAGACGAAAAGGAATATAATCCAAAAGACGTATCAATAAATGAAAGATTGTGAAAAAAACGTATGCCTTTTTTTCAGCTCGTGAAAATGAAAACCACGCCGAGAAACAAAACGATCAGAAGGAAGTTAAATATTGCTGAAAAAAACCTGAAAGAATTTGTCCCAAATTCTTGGTCCCCCTGAATGATAAATACCTAGATTTTAAAGAGGAGGTTGGGTCTAAAATAGTCTCTCTTTTGGGTATTATCTAGTCCCTTCTTAAAAATAACCCATACCGGATAAAAAGAACAAACATGGGTTAAGAAGATGAGTCCACATTATTTTAACATAGTGCACCCTCACTATTGAAAAAAACATGACCTTATAGAATTAATTGTTTTTTATGCACATATAATACACGCGGTTAAATATTATAATTATTTATTTTTAGTTTATTTTCTTATTATAACTTAGTCTTAATCACTTTTGAGTTGAAATCTCCAAATTTTGATTATTGCATTTGTCATAATTTTTATTTAAATATTTTAAAAATTTTAGTGAAACTGATTAGTGCGTTAAACTGGAATTGGTATACATTTATATGCTTTACGAGAACATCATTTTTTCAATTTGTACCTATCAGACTTCCATGTAACATATTTATTTATTGGATCATCTATCTCTAATTTGTTTATCTTAGTTATTAATTGTAATGCTAAATTCGAAGAAAAAAATACAATAATATGTTCTTGATGTATTCGTAAAAGACATAAATAAATTTCAACAAAGAGAGCTTGACCTAAGGAAGGATATTGTTGTAAAAGTGGAAAAATAACCAAAATCCTAAGATGGTTTGTATAAGCTAGGCTAAAAATACGCGCTTTCCACAAAATAACAAGAGAGATAACTATAAAACCAATCTACGATTTTGAGGGTTTTGTTTTCAAAATTATGGATTTTGAATGTTTGAAATTCTTAGGGTTTTTTTTATAAATCTTTCAATTTGGAGAATATTTACAATTTTTGAAACTTTTTGGGTGGTTTATGCAAATTGCAGACTATTTATGGGTGTATTTTTAATTCCCATATTTTTAGTCTATTATTATTATTTAAGGTTTGAAATTCTCATGATTTTTTTGCAAATTTTCAAATTTGAGGTTTTATTATAATTTTTTAAACTTATAAAGTATTTCTGCAAATTAAAAATTATTTAGGGAGTTATTATAATTCTTATATTTCCATTGTATTATTAGATTTGAAATTATTAGGGATTTTTTTAAAATTATGAATTTTGAGTTTTCGTAATTCTTAGGTTTTTTTGAAATTTTTAATTTTGATGTTTTTTTACATTTTTTTGAAAATTTTAGTGTTCTTTATGCAAATTACAAACTAGTTATGGCTGTATTCTTAATTCCCATAGTTTTAGTCTACTATTGTTTGTGGTATGAAATTTTTATAGTTTTCTATGAATTTTTAATTTTATTTTAATTTTTTTTTTGAATTTTTATGGTGTTTTTGTTCTTTTTCAAAGTCTTAGAGTGTTTTGTACTAATTATAAATTTTGGGTGCTATTTAAAATTCTTATATTAATGATCTACTGTTAGGTTTTAAATTTCAGGGCACTTTTATAAATTTCTAGTTTGTGATGTAGTTTTTTTATTATTGTTTAAAATTTGAAATTTGTAATTTTTAGAGTTTATTTGGTATTTTTGAATTTTTAGAGTATTTTCTAAAATGAAAGATTACTTAGAATATTATTTGTAATTCCTAAGTCTCAATGTATTGCTAGGTTTGTAATTGTCATGGTCTTTTAATTATAGGTATTTTTGCATTTTTTTAACCTTTAGGATATTTTCTGAAATTTACTAATAATTCCTATATCTTTAATTTACTATTAGGTTTTAAAAAAAATATGAATACTGAGTGTTTATAATTGTCAAGACTTTTGCAAATATTTAATTTTCATGGCTTTTTTGCAATGTAAAAAATTTTGGGTGCTTTGTGCAAATTATAAACTATTTATGAGTTTACTTTTAATTCCCATATTTTTCAATTTACTATTATTTAGGGTTTTAAATTCTCATGGTTTTTTGTGAATTTTTAATTTTTAGGGCGTGTTTTGCAATTTTTAAAACTTTAAGTTGAATTTTGTGAATTGTAAACTTCTTGTTGGTCGATTTTTTCCCTATATTTTCACTGTACTTAATCCAAACCAATTATAACAGGGAGAATCACAACAAAATAAAAAAAATTAGGGAAAAATGTGTCCAGGCCCCAAAATGAGAAAGCTCATGTGACCCGCCCCCTTATATTTTGGCCCATGTGATTCAGCCCCAAAAAGTACCATTTAATATTTCAAGGCCCCTCCACGTCAGCAGTACAAAAAAGAGATTGTATTTTAATAAAAAACCCAAAATTGCCCCTCCACTTATCTTCCCCAGATACCTGACCCCCAAAATACATGGAAAGTCACGCCCATTAATGCGATCTGATGGGAAAAAATAAAGGGAAATTTCCCGCCCTTTTTTGAACTCTATCATGAGCAATAACTCATGTTAGTTCTAAGTTATTTAATGTTAGTTCTAACTTATTTTATGTTAGTTGTAACTTAGTTCTAATTCATGTTAGAGCTACCTTTAAGTAGAACTAATATGAATACTTTAGGCTATTTGGTCTAGTGGTAAACCTTATTTTATGTTAGTTATAACTTAGTTCTAATTCATGTTAGAGTTAACTTTAAGTAGAACTAATATGTTTATACCATGTTATAGTGGCTATGTTAGTTCTAGTTGAGCTCATGTTAGTTCTGGTGGTTCTCGTGTTAGTTCTAGCTAATTTCATGTTAGTTCTGCTTCCAGCTAGTGTTGGTTCTAATATAAGCATTAGTTCTAGTAGCTATGTAAGTTCTAATTGAGCTCCTATTAGAACTGACACGATACCTATTAGAACTGACACTGGAGAAGCTAGAACTAACATGACATAAATTAGAACTAACATGGCGTTTAGACCCATCACTTACGCTAGAAATATCGCATTAAATAAATTAGAACTAACACGATACCTGTTAGAACTAACACTGGAGAAGCTAGAACTAACACATCATCAAGTAGAACTAACATGGCGTTTAGACCCAACAATTACGCTAGAAATAACGCATTACATAAATTAGGGCTAACACGATACCGGTTAGAACTAACACTGGAGAAGCTAGAACTAACATGGCATAAATTAGAACTAACATGGCATAAATTAGAACTAACATAGCGTTTAGACCCAACAATTACGCTAGAACTAACGACTTAAATAAATTAGAACTAACACGATATCTGTTAGAACTAGCACTAGAGAAGGTAGAACTAATGTGGCATAAATTAGAACTAACATGGTGTTTAGACCCAACACTTACGTTAGAATTAACACATTAAATAAATTAGATCTAACACGATACCAAATAGAACTGATACTGGAGAAGCTAGAACTAACACATTATTAAGTAGAACTAACATGACGTTTAGACCAACAATTACGATAGAAATAACGCATTACATAAATTAGATCTAACACGATACCAGTTAGAACTAACACTGGAGAAGCTAGAACTAACATTGTATAAATTAGAACTAACATGTCGTTTAGACCCAACACTTACGCAACTAACACGACATGGTAAAAATTAGAACTAACATGAGCTGGTAAAAATTAGAACAAATATGAGCTGCGATAGAACAAACATGAGCTAACTCTAGTTATTTATGCCCTTTTTTAAACTCTATCATAAGCTAACTCATGTTAGTTCTAACTTATTTCATGTTAGTTCTAATGGCAAGTAAGAGCTAACTTTAAGTGGAACTAACATTAACACTTTGGCTACTTGGTCTAGTGGTAAAGCTTGGGAATTTGGAGAGGAGGTCAGGAGTTCAAACCCATGCAACTACAATATATATTTAAAGGTCTTTGATTGGGCATTGGGGCTTGGGGCTCTTGGGCTCTTTGTTAGTTCTAACTAATTTATGTTGGTTCTAACTTACTCTTTGTTAGTTCTAACTCACTTAAAGTTAGTTCTAACTTGCTCTTTGTTAGTTCTAACTCACTTAAAATTAGTTCTAACTTTCTCTTTGTTAGTTCTAACTTGCTCTTTATTAGTTCTAACTCACTTAAAGTTAGTTCTAACTTGCTCTTTATTAGTTCTAACTTGCTCTTTGTTAGTTCTAACTCACTTCATGTTAGTTCTAGTTCTAATTCATGTTAGTTCTAACTCGTTCTTTGTCTAACCCACTGCATGTTAGTTCTAGTTCTAATTCATGTTAGTTCTAACTCACTGCATGTTAGTTCTAGTTCTAATTCATGTTAGTTTTAGGCTCTTGTGCTCTTTGATAGTTCTAACTCATTTTATGTTGATTGTAATTCACTTCATGTTAGTTCTAGTTCTAATTCATATAGTTACTTTCACCAACATAAAATCTATAGACAATTGGGAGTACACAAGCTCATACCTGATGTAGTTACTTTCACCATCCTTCTCAAGGGAATGGATGTGCAAGGAATGTTAAAGGAAGTAACAATAATTTTCTTTCAAATACTAAAGAGGGGATTTATGCCAGATGCCGTAGTATACTGTAGTTTGGTCGATTGCTTGTGCAAGCATGGCAATCTAATTGCTGGGTTTAAACTTTATAGAATGATGCTTAAAAATGGTGTTCATCCTGATATTGTTGTTTATAATGTTCTCATAAAGAAGGTAGAACAGACAGAACTAACATGGCAGCGAACAGAACTAACGTAGGAGATAACAGAACTACCATGAAAGCGGGTAGAACTAACGTAAGAGATGACAGAACTAACATGAAAGCTAATAGAACTAACAGTCCAATCCTCAGAACTAACAGTTCAGCCTTTAGAACTAACAGTTCAGCCATTAGAACTAACATTCCAGCCCTTAGAACTAACATGACAGCCCTTAGAACTAACATTCATAGTTTTAATTTTTCCTTGTCCCCCCTTTCAAATTCACAGGTTCTTAGATTCTTTAGTCGACTTTTAATCACATTGTCTTCAATTTTTAGCTAAATGTTGATATGCCTGAAGATTCAATGTGAGCTTTTGAAAATTTTTGCTGTTAATCTCTTATACAGAACTCTGTCAATCACCAAATCACACAAGAAAAAGGTATTAAAGGAAAACCCAAACCGTTGTTCAAGAATCCAAGGAGATCCTATTTCAATTAAATGAAAGAGAAAAACTACAAAAACCTAATATCGATTCCCTTCATAAATTACAAGAAAACAAGAGCACTATCTTGATTAAGACATTGATTTGGGTAAAGATATTCTGTAACTTAGAAAGGGGAGAACAACGATGCATCAGACAAAAGCTCCGGGCTCTATCAGCTCGCGGGTCCCACCGGACCATGTTCCGTGTTTGTCGTTGAACCCACGTTCACGAGCTGTTTCCAAGATGACTCCCCGCCCTCCGACTCCATGACCACCGTCCTCGCCTTCGCCTTCCACGACCTCCCCAGGGTCTGATCATTTTCAGTGACCATGACGGAAGTGAGAGAGAAGGAGAAGTTGAGAGATAGAGGGGGGAGAGAGACAGAGAGAGAGAGAGAGAGAGAGAGAGAGAGAGAGAGATGGGGTTAAAGGGATGGGCGCAGTTACCAAGCTCAATCAAATCAAATGATAAATTTGTAACTTTTGTTGGGCTTTTCTCAGGGTCCGATACTTTGGGACCTTAACACAAATACAGTGTGTATTTGGGGCTTATACACATAAGTCAGAATACAAGGGAGCAGGTCACATGAACTTTCTACTTTTGGGGCCTGGACACATTTTTCCCAAAAAATTAACAGGAGGGCAAGATAGAAAATTCTAATATATTTTTAAAATGAATTTTTAATTTTTAGAATGAGAGAGAACATTATGATTCACGTACATATGTAAAAAATTTTTTACTACCCTTTGTGGCTATTCGTTCTCAAAATATGAGAAAAACTGGAAAAGGCAACATCATACAAACTCTAGGTAACAAATTGATCAATTAGAATCGACACAAGTGCGTTTGTCTCTTGTTCGTGCAGTAGCATTTACTTTCTACTTACACCTATCAAAATTAAAAATGACTCATGAAGAGATATGGTGAAAATTAACACATTAATTAAGTTAAGAAGTGGACTCACGTGGATAGCAAGTTCCTAATTTGTTTTCTAATTTATTTTAGTAACAGATTATTGAGATTCCTAATCTGTTTTGATAACATGTTATTGAGATTCCTAATCTGTTTTGGTAATAGGTTATTAGGATTGCTAATCTGTTTTGATTTTAGTTTTAGAATTACTAGTATGTTTTTGGTTTTAGGATTTATATATATATATAGAACATTTTAGAAGAGAAAAAGTAAGGGGGAATTTGAGAGACTTCTGAGCTATATGCTTATGAGATTTGGTGAGAGATTTGAGAACTTTGTTCGAGAGATTAATTTGTGAGGTTTTGAGTAATCTTGTAATATCTATTTTTACTCTCTCTCTCTCTAATAGTGAAAACCTATCCCCTTCTTGCCCCGTGGACGTAGGCAACTTGTCGAACAACGTAAAATTCGTTTGTTTGTATTCGTGGCGTTAATTTGATCTTGTGTGACATTCTCTCGGCGTTTGTGTGGATTTCCTCGGGACCCCAACAAGTGGTATCAAAGCACAATAAGTGGTATCAGAGCTTTGGCTACGCTTGGGCTAGGTGGAGGAGTAGATCACTTTGGAAGCTCATCTAGGGCTTCAGTTGGTGATAAAGGTAGGAATTTTACTATTGCTGATCTCATTTCCGTCGTGTGGGGTTGAGATCTTTTTGAGGCTCTTATTAGGGTTTTACTTGGAGGTATAAAAATTTCTCTTTTTTCAGTTTGGATTTATTCGTTGTTTGTTCCGCATTAGTTTGGTGGTGCTTTGAGGAAGATGACCAAGAAAGAAGGAGTTATGGAGGGTACTTCTGGTGTGAAGACCGTCTAAAGTTTGAATATTCACTCTATGAAGATAGACGTGGAGAAGTTTAATGGCACTAACAATTTTGGTCTTTGGAGATGTGAAGTCTTGGATGCGCTCAACACGCAAAATTTGGAGGATACTTTGAAGTTGGACAAGAAACCGGACGATATTGAGGAGAAAGTTTGGAAGAAGATGCATCGAAATGCGTGTGGTGTGATTAGGTCTTGTTTAACACAAGATTTAAAATATGATATGATCAATGAGACTTCGGCAAAGAAGATTTGGAAGATCCTAGAGGGCAAGTATTTGACAAAGAGGGTGAAAAATAACTTACATTTGAAGAGGAGGCTTTATCTCTTCCAATTGAAGAAGGGAACCTCCATTGGTGATCATATGAACAACTACATGAAACTTCTTACGGATTTGGCGAATGCAGACGTTATGATTTAAGATGAGGACAATGCGTTGTTATTGTTGAGTTCCTTACCCGACGAGGAATATGAGACCTTCGTTCTTACTCTTATTAATGGGAAGGCATATCTTTCGTATAGTGAGGTCACCACTGCACTTGTAAATTATTAGCTTCGGAAGAAAGATAATGTAAAGCCCCATAAAAAATTATTTAAATGAGTTTTATTATGAAATATATGTTTATGTCATGGAAGAGTATGAAAAACAAGTGTTTGGGGATCAAACTAGTGTAGTTATGAGAGAGAAATTAAGTGGAAAAGACCAGCACACGAACGTATCATGCACAACATTATGCTGCTACGCGATCGATCGCGCTGGGCGCGGCGGGCGACCGCCAAGCGGCCAGGTTCAGGCGCAGTAGTTTTCTGCTGTGCGGTCGACCGCGCTGGGCGCGGCGGTCGACCGCACAGCGGCCAGACTGTTTTCCCAGTCTGAGTTGGTTTCGGGTTTCGGGTCGGGTTTGGGGGCTCATATATATATTATTTAATTCGTGGGAGCCTCTTTTTTGTGAGAGAAAACCCTAGTAGCCTCCCCCTACCCTCTTGCAAACCTTATCTTGTTCTTTGGGGCGTTTTTGGAGGATTTTGAGGAGTTCGAGCGAGATCCAGTGGTGTTCAGTAGAGGAGAACCTTCTCACGTCCTTACCATAGTAGTTCATCACCTCTCAGACGAGTTTCATCTCGCCCAATCCCTCACCCAGTTTTAAAATACTTTTACATGATGTTTTCATTTGTTTTTATGAGCCTAACATACTAGTTTGAGTATAAAAAGTTGATCTTTGTATTGTATGTTACAAAAGAACATGTTTTCAGTTAATAAAGATCACCCACGTTTTCCTAAGTGCAGATCTAGATCTGGTGTTTATTTCTAACAAGAGATTTGAAAGAAGAATAATTGTTTTCGACATATAGATGCATGTTTTCGTTTGTTTCATCTTGTCTATAGTGATTAGACTGTTTATATCGCGTTTCAGATATGCAATATCACATGTTTAGGGTTGCTAGTATGCATAAATATCACACACGAATATCGAGATCGAATTATATAGAACAAACTGAGAATTAGGGTTTTGCTGCTGCGTGGTCGGCCGTGATGGACGCGGCAGTCGACCGCTTGTCGTTCACAGTCATAGCTAAGTTTCTGTTGTGATCGCGGTCGAACACGCTGGGCGCGGTGGTCGACCGTCGATCGCGGTCGACCGTGCGTGGCACGGCGGTCGACCGCTGGAGAGCACCGAGGTACAGTGATTTTCTATTCTCTGTGCGGTCGACCGCGCTGGGTGCGTCGGTCGACCGTGAGTCAGTTTTCCTGCATCGTTCTGTTGTGCATACGTAGTGTCGCTGGAAAGATTTTTTGGATTATTTGGGATTGTTAAACACTGAGATTTGTGTACATGACTTGATTACAGACTAGAGACTAGTTTATTCACCGAGACATGAGAGTGAATAGTGTATACATGTATGCTATAGAGATAATTCATCGCAGTCCGTGTGTTGGACGTTTAGTTATTGTGGCCCATGTGTTGGACCTTGATCATATAGTCCATGTGTGGGATATTCGTTATTTTAGTCCATGCGTTGGACATGTAGCTTGCGGCCCATATGTTGGACCTGTAGTATTTATAGTCCATGCGTTGGACCTACATCATATATAGTCCATGTGTTGGACATGCAATATATATAGTCCATGTGTTGGGATATTTCCTATTTTTAGTCCATGTGTTGGACATTCAGTGGGATTTTGCCTTGTCTAACATATAGTAGATGCAGTTCATGAGTTGAACAAGTATTCCGATGTCTGACAGGACATTTTTGATATAGTTTGAAATGGAGGTATTGCTCCACGTTGTAGTTTGGATTTGGTATTTAGAGGAGCCGTCTTTCATTATTGCTCCACAATGTAGCTTTTGGATTTGGTATTTAGGGATTTACAATTTGAGACATATGGTATATACATGAGGGTTTTCTTGTTTGGATTATTTCGCTTGACGTACTATGCTTGTGTTGTAAATTTCTAAGTATCAAATCTCTATTTATTTCAGAGTAGATGATTGTCTATCTATATGTATTAT